TGCAGAGGGACAGGGGGCATTATTAAAGTGGCTGGTTAAGTGATAATTAATTAGTTTTTTGTTACTCATTCAAGACTGTAATCTTTAGCTACCTTTGTAATTCAACCTCTAATGGTACAGTTCTATCCTCCTGTGGAAATAAGTGGCAATTGTTAAATGACTTTTATTATCTCTCTTTTTTTTTTTTATTACTAACCCATGTGGAATATCTTAGAATTTCTTCTGCCTAATTACACAAAAGAATCTCAGCCCATCAGAAAAATGTGATAATTTATTTGGCTATACTTATAGATCAAATGCTTATTTATCCTATAATTCTACAGTCTTAATAGAAAAGATATTCTTGTTCTACATGCATATTTTCCAATACACTTACTAAGGCGAATTCAACAGTAATTCTTTCTTTCAACTAAACATTACCTGCACTATAAGGACTCTCACAGCAGTTTGACAAGAAGCAGCGTATTCATGTAAAATACAAAAGGGATTTCTAGTGATAAAAGTATCCAAATGCACCTTGCAAAGATTTAGATTTACTTTTAGTTTTGAATGTGCAAACTTTTAAACACTTTTTTCCCTCAAGACTAAATTATGGCACTATCAAAATGTTATTGTTCTTAGGTTACAAGCACGGAACTAGTACAGTTTCACAGGCAGTTTTTCCCCATGCAATTTTCTTCCATGAAGTTCAAAATGTATGCCAGTAAAGGAATCAAGAACTCTTCCTGACAAAAGAACAGAAAGCAAGCGTTTCTATTTGTTGATAAGATTGTTTTTTCTACAAAAACATAAAGGCATATTGAAATTGGTGTCCAATTTACAATGAATGACAGAACAGACCATATAAATATGTTTGAACAAAGACCATGGGTTAAAATTTACAGTTCTAATCTTTGACAATCAGAAAGACTCAGAAATAGCATGGGCTACATATACCTCACATGCATTACAAATTTCAAAAAATAAAGCTCTGCAAGGACAGTGATGCCCTTGTATAGGCCCAAAACTTACTTTATATTAGAAGACAGCAGATATGGACAACAGAGCCCCTAACCATTTTTTTTTTTGGTTTTTGTTTTTTTAAAAAAACTACTCCAGTATTATTAATGCTAAACCTCAGATGGTCTGAAAGATCAATGTACTGGGCTCATGTATACTGACATACTCATCAAAAGACCATTCTTGCTTCTATATTAAACAGGTTCTGACAAACAAATGCAATAAATATAATTAGATTTCATGCAGAATAACCTATAGCCATACTCACAGTTTACTGTGTTTTCCCTTGAAGCAATATTTATCAGCACAAAGCAAAAAGTGTATTTAATTGCCTTTTGACAATACAATTTATTGCTCCAGTGAAGATACTGACAGGATTTGTATGATTGTAAGCAATGAGATTCTCCTATCCCAACCACATACAAAACTGACAGAGAAGCAAAAGGAAGAGGGAAACAAGTAATAGCTCTCGTCTCTTGCAGGAACACATAGCTTTAAAATTTTCTTGGAAATGATAATACTAAAAGCAGTTCTAGTCAACAAGAGTAGACTAGAACTGGCTATAGAGATCTGGTTGCTAATTCATTTTGAAGTGCTATTATCCATAATAGCTTAACTATCAGGAGGATTTTCCAAATGTCATACAGTTCTGTACAAATGTTACAGCCTTCTTCATAGACCTTCTACAATGGCATGGTGATGAGACAGAAAGCATTCTCATCATATCATCTTACATCTGGAATCCCATCTCCACAGAAACTTACCTGGTAAAGCCTGTTAAAATTATAGGAGAAAATCTTACCAGTCATTTCAGCATGTTTAATAATTGATTAAACTATCTAGTGTTGTTAATTTTTATTATTTTATTCTTTTTATTTAATAGTTTTAATTGTAAGCTGGTCCAGAAGCTTATACTTAAAGTTGCTTAGGTCTTCTACATAAATCTTTCACATTTCCAACAAAAAGGCTCTTAAGACTACTGGTCTGGGAAAGATTTCTGCTGTGGGTCTGGATAAGATAAACTTCTCTGTTCAATTATGTAAGACAGGGTTCATATCAGTAAATGATGTACATTCTAGAATGAAAGCTGTTTTTTCAAGTGGTTATGTCTTCAAGGCCAGGAACAACACTTTCAAAGGACTTTTTCCTCAGAAATAAAATAAAATAAGAAAAGAAAAGAAAAGCCAGCACTTAAGGCTTTGATTTTTGTGACCCAATGAACATGCCCTGTAACACATCAACTGAAAACAATCTATTCAAGATTTGTTATCCAATATTTAACTGGAAAGCTTAAAATAATAGCTTGCAAATTTGATAAGAGCCAGCGTGAACTTGAAGTTTGTCTTCACTTACTGTACATGCTCTAAAATACTTACAAATCTGTAAGGCCATTTTGAACCCTAATGTAAAATCTTTTAATACAAGTTACCATAAAATTGCTAATTTTATTTATTGATATATTAGTTCCTCATTCAGAATGTATACTATCCGAGATTCATATATATTACATCAGCAATAGAGTATCATCTGTATCATCACTGGATTATATCACTGTGAGAATATGATTTTATTATAGATCAGAAATTCTGAATTGAAAATGTCAATTTATGCTATTGAATTCAACCTTTCACTTACTGCAGGAATCAAAGTTAATAAAATAAGTTTCCAATATATGGCTATGCTACCACTTGAACACAACCACAAAAAGAGAGCCCATTATCTATCTAAATGACTGATTCTATGTCGAATTATTCTTACTCTCAGGAGATTTTTCTTAACATGCAATTAGAATCTGCTTTCCTATGTACTGTACTCTGGGATGACAGACAACAGGCTGTGGTTGTCTTCTGTGTGACATCCTTTCAGATTCTTAATGAGTGCTATTATATTCCACCTTAGTATTCTCTTCTTAAAGCTGAACATTTTGAGTTCCCTCAATCATTTCTTGTAAAATTTAGCTTCTGATCCCCTAACTGTGCATGCTTGTTGTTCTTCTCTATATGCATTTCAGTTTGTCTGAATACTTTCTTAATATACAATGTACCATATTTGTGGTGGAATAGACAAATGGAGAATGGAGCAGAACTCTTCCTATGATTTAGAAACTGTATCTTGACTGACACCTTGTGCAGTCTAAAATTATATTTGACTTTTTCACAATCATGTGACACTGCTGGTTTATACTCTACAATTCTAAGATTTTTTTTCCCATAAATCTAAATGCAAACTAGGTATTTCTAAACTTTACTGTATTTTTAAATGAAAAAACACTACAGAATATCTAATGCTCCAAATTTCATTTTCATCCTGTTTCGCTAATCTATCAGGAATTATAGACGAATGAAATCTAGAATGCTTTCTTGTCTAAGAAAAGCCATCTTCCGTATTACTCTCATTTTGATTTTCAGTGAGGTTAGATAATTTAATTCAAAAGTGAGTGCTTATTTTATCCTATAGTTTATTTTTATCATACATAGATATTAAAACTGGCCAATTTTCATGGTGGAAGTATCTATTTTTACAATAAGAAAATTGTAAAAGAAATACATAATTCAGAATAATAAGCTGAAATGATGGAAGTTATACATTCCATCATTTCATTCCAAATTACAGAGTTTAAACTTCTTTAAATTAAGCCATGTTGATTACTATATACAAATATGCAACTATATGTTTGCATGTGAGTCATGCTGTATAAAAGTTTGCAATAAATTTTTACTTAAACTAGAGAGAAAGCACATTCAACTACCGCTGCTTTCCGACAATAAGACGCCCCCATGTACAAGACGACCCCCACTTTTCTAACCCAAAATTAAAAAATCAATATTTTAAAGATAGTGCAGAACACATTTTTATTAAGTAATTAGTTAACATTTACCTGATACACTCGGTGGGAGGAGGTCCAAACCACCTCTCTGT